TCTCCTTGTCAAAGATCAGTTGACCATAGATAGATGGGTTGATCTCTGGATTCTCAATTCGATTCCATTGATCTATGTGTCTGTCACTGTACCAGTACCATGCTGTCTTTACCACTACGGCAACACCTTATTTTCTTCTAAAGCCTTTATAGTTTGAATTCTTACGCTTAGGTCTTTGAGCCATTTTGAGTTAGTATTTGTATCTCATGCCTTCCGCATTTTGGTTGCCCAGTGCTTCATTTAAAGACAGAATGAATGCTCTTGAGTCTATCTTTATTTGCCAGGTTCTCATAATAGGTAATTAGTTTCCTAATCATCTTATAAAACTGTTTTGTTTTGTTTTCTTGATGATCATGAATATCTAGGATTGAATGTATTTGTGTTTGGAGCCCTTGGGCGTGATAGAGTTTTTATCAGTGAACTGTTCTCACGTCCTGCTTGGGTGAATGTATTAAAGTCTTTGGTTTCCCCTTTGGCTTCTGGAGAGATGAACTCAGCCCTCCTAACATTGACTCAGACTCATAGTGACACCCCACTGGGTGTCATAACATAATGGGAAGAGACTGCCTGACTTGCTTCCTGAGAGCAGCTGGTGGTTTTGAACCACCAAAGGCTGAAGCCCTTAGGTTCGCGGCATAACTCGGAGCAGTCTTCTCCACCAGAGCTCTTCCATCTGAACACTTGCGGAAAGCAGATACCAACAGGTCTGTATTACAGGGTCCGCAGAACACCACGTGGTTCTTGTTGCCTAGGGTCAACAAGACAGCTCGAGGACTTGGCCCTTGTCACTGATTCCTTTCTTGTGTTCATGCTTCATTTAGGTACCAGTCAGATGGAACCCTGAAAGGAGCCTAATTTTGTTATAAGTCCTGGCTATATTACTTGTGACTCCTGTAGGTCCTTAGAGGTCCTGCTTGCTGTTGTTTTTTGGTTTTTTTAAATCATGATGAAAACCAGTTCTCAAGGAGGAACTGATTTTTGGTAGGTTTCCCACATTGACAAAAAGTTTAAGGGAAGCAGCCCACATTTTACTTCTGGAGTGAGACCTAATCCCACTTTTCTCTTGACTGTCAGATGATTGCAAAATTTACTCTCCTCGGGAGCGAGAGTGATGTTGTTTGTGTGGAGTTGTGCTGTTCACCCAAGGGCAGCACTCCTCTGGCAGTTTGAATCCACTGAGCTGTGAGGTCTCTGGCCATGTGATTTACAGCCTCGGAAACCCAGGGGAGGGTCAACTGTGAGTTGGTTCTGACTCTGCAGCACAGAGAACCTGCATATGTAGGTATTCACCAGAAAAGCGTCCTTTTAAGAGGAGAGACTGGAAAGGACTAGTAAGAGCGGTGATCTGGGCTTTTCATGTTACGCTATTATGTGACATTTGAACAGCCTTGGAGGAAGTGCAGCCAAGGTGCTCCTTAGCGGCAAGGATGGGAAACTTGGTCTCACATCTTCGGACATGTTGTCAGGAGGGGTCAGGTCAGTCCTTGGAGAAGGACATCATGGTGAGAAAGGGGGAGGGTCAGAGAAAGAGGAAAACCCTCAACAAGATACATTGACACAGGGACTCAAGCAAGACAGAGGTGGTGAGGATGGTGTCGGATAGGGCAGGGTTCAGGTATCTTGTTCACAGGGTCGTTATGAGTCATAATGGATTTGACAGCGCCTAAACACAAGATGTTTGAATTTCTTTTATCATGAGTTTATATTACATTTATCATAAAAGTAGCTGATTTATTTTTTTAAAATGTGTGTTTGTGTTATGATAGGCTATAATGTATATACTACATAGAAAGTGATTTTGACTTTGTAAAAAAAAAAATCTCGATTTCTGATCTACCCATCTCACCCTAAACTTGTATATTCCTGTTTGTCTTCCAGAAACATGCCAAAGGCCAGGACTTGTTCGATCAGATTGTGTACCACTTGGACCTCGTAGAAACGGATTACTTTGGCCTCCAGTTCCTCGACTCGGCCCAGGTGGCGGTAGGTAGTACTTTGACTCATTTCAGACCCAGATTGACTTTGCCTGCTAATTGCAGAGAGATTGGCTAGAAATTGGCATAGAGAAATAGGAGTGAACAGCAGTACTGTTCTAGTAACTAGATTTGGGATGAAGTCATGGTGCCTCTTTGAAATGCATACATAGTGCTTGGAGGATACTCCCCTGCCAGGTGGCCAGTAGCTGAGTAAGGAAGTGTTTCTGTCACCCATGAGATGCATTAGAAAAAAATTTCAAAGCCTAGCTATGTTATGGGCACATTTTGAAAGGAGATAGAAGAAATTGGAGAAATTATTTTGATGATACCATGTTTGTTTTAATCAGTAGAAGCTATGCCACCATCTTTTTGTGGAGTTATGCTGAGTGCAGGGTGTAGTTGCAATGAATAACAATCTGAAGACATTTATCTCGTGTGTGTATGTGATATGTGCTGGCCACTTCTGAGCACTGTGGCTGACACAGTAAATAGACAAAGCAACTGTATGATCTCAAGGAGCTTCCATTCTGGGGAGGTGAAATGGGCTGAGCAAACCTATATTCATATCATGACAGGTGTGATACATGTGAATGACAGTAATGCTGAGCGTGGGTGTGGTGTATAGACAAGGCATTGAACGATGCTGTTGTTATGTGCCTTCGAATCACCTATGACTCATAACAACCCTATGTACAATAGCTCTGAGCCCTGCCCTGTCCTGAGCCAGTCTCACTGACCCTGACACACCTACCCCTATTACCCCAGACACTATGTCAGTCCATCTCACTGTCACTTCTCCCTTCCAGGTATGATGTCCTTTTCCAAGGACAAGTCTCCTCCTGGCCACATGCCCAGAGTATGTGAGATGGAGTTTCAAAATCCTAGCCTCTAGGGATAAACTTGGTTTCACCCTCTCCAAGACAGACATGTTTGTTCTCCTTGGTGGTCCATAGTATGTTCAATACTCTTCTCCAATACCAAAACTCAAAGACATCAGCTCTGTCATCCTTAATCACTGTCCAGCTCTCTGATGCATAGCAAGTAATTGCAAAAACAAGGCCTGGAGCAGGTGCACCTTAGACTCTAGACTGACATCATTACTCTTAGCACTTTGGAGAGGTCAAGACAGCTGACTTCCCCAGTGCAATTTGTCTTTTGATTTCCTGACTGCTGTTGCTAAGAGTGTTGATTGTGGAGCTGAGCAAGGTGAAATTGTTAGCAACCTCAATCTCTGCTCCATCTACGATGGTGTTGCCATTTGGCCCAGTGGTGAGAATCTTTGTCTTCTTGATGTTGAGCTTCTGCAACGAATGCTTCAGGTCCTCCTCAGTTTTGGCAAGCAAGGTTGTGTCATCAATATATCTCAAGTTGTTGATGATGTTTCCTCCAATCCTGATGCCACATTCCTCATAAAGCCCAACCTCCTAAATAATCTGTTCTTCATATAGTTTAAAAAGGTACAGCTATAGGATGCATTCCTGACACACTCCCTGCCTGATTTTGAGCCATGCAGTATTGCCTTGCTGTGTTCTGACAACTGCTTCCTGGTCCAGGTGTAGGTTTTGCATGAGCATGATCAAGTGTTCTGGAATTCCCATTCTTCTCAAGGGTTAGTCATCATTTGCTGTGATCCACACAGTTAAATGCCTTTTTTTACTTCTGAAGGTTGAGTTCTTCGTAAACAAAGACTAGAGGCCCAGGGCTCTCATAAATGAGGAAGCCTTCCTATGCAGAGGACACATGCTCAGAACTGTCTGGGCGGCACTGTGACACTTGTAAGGTGGAGAAAATCACAGGTAACATTACAGAGTGGATCTGCTGGAGAATGTGAGTGAGATGCCCAAGCCCTTACAGATGGAGTAGAATCCACACTTTAGTGCTCTGAGCTGCTGGACCTCCGGGTGGACATGCCTGCCCAGAATCCTCCAACCAGGAGTCCTGCAGGTGTCCTTCCTTCCACCACTAACTACTTCTGCATTTTCAGGACCCCCAGTGTGCTGATAGCAGGTTCCTTCCTTACCCACTCTTCCTGTTGCTTTGAACCCTGCTGCCCCCAATTGCATTTCCATTTCTCAGCTAGAGGCTGTCACTGCAGCTCCCCTGGGCCCTGGGGAGGGACAGACTGGCTTTCCCCTTACCATTTCCTCATCCAGCTCCTCTTCCTTTGAGGCTGTTCCACTGACCCCACTGCTGTCCTTCCATCCCTCACGGTCCTGGTAGCTCAGGTTTTCTCTTCCTCGGGACAACTTTAGAATGCAAGTTGCTAACTTAATTTTACAGTCACCGTTTGATCTCTGTAAGCTTCATTTGAGACAACCTTACTTGCTGAAACGTTGGGCCCTGTCCCCCCACCACCACTGCAGAGTCCAGAATTCTGTCATTCCAGGTTATAGTGATAAAAACTCTTGATTTTATCTCTCCAGTTCCTCTGCAGGGAGCTCAGGTGGCCTAGTGATAATGAATTACATTGTCAACCCAAATTCATATGGTTCTAATCCACTAGCTGCTCTGCAGGAGAAAGATGAGCAGTTCCTTCCTTTATCGGTTACTCCTGCCTCCCCAGACCCGCTGGAGGGTCAGTGAGGAGTCAGTTCAGACTTGATGGCACCTACCAACAACAACCCCGCCTCCTGCATCTGGTCTCAGTCCTCTGATAACCCATCTGCAGCCTTCTTTTCTCTGCCCCATTCTCTCTCTGTCCCCTCTTACCTTGCCCTCCTGCCATCTCACCTGTACCTTCACTCACCCTTTGACTCCTTGTTCCTATAGCCTCCCTGTCCTCCATCCAGGCCCATCTGCTCCTTTGCTGCTTCCTCCACATTACTAAGCATGTGGGGGAGGAGGGTGTTGAGTGCAGTCATGGAGAGTGCCTTTTGACAATCACAGGGTCAGCAAGTCCAAGCTCTTGACCTGTGTTGCAAGCTTTGTTAGTCTTTCACTGACTCTCAGGTACCCCACTGTGGCCTCTGAATCTGTCCCCCTAATCCAGTCCCTGCAAAAATGCTGTGCAAGCAGCTACTCTCGTTCCCTGTTGGGAAGAACAGTCATTCCACTGAAACAGCTCTAGCTTTTTACCCTGCTCTCTCAAAGTGTCTCTCTAATTCTTTGTCCATCCCTTTTGAGTCTTAAGAGAGGAGGGCAGGCCTGTCTCCCCTGTGTTTATCTCCACACTTGCATTTCCTCGACTTCCTGAGTGCCAGCTTCAGAGTTCTGTCTGTCCTCAGTGTCCTCCAGCAGTCTGCCCTGCACATTTGACAGTTCATCTTCCCACTTCCCTGAAATCTCTTTGTTTTGCTTTCTTCTGTACATTTTGAAGTATGTGATAGCCTTTTGGCTTCAGAATATCTGTGACTCTTGACCAGGAGTCAACCATGGATCTCACTCCTGCCTCTGTCTTGGACTCATTTCATAGGGCTCTAATTTTACCAGCCTTATTTTCCTCATCTGTAAAATGGGATTCTTGAATTTGTTCTCTGGAACTATTTTGGTGCTAATGTTGGTGATTCTGAGCTTGAGGGGTAGAAAAGCATTTACCTGCTCCAAATAAGGGTGGGTCTTTTGAATGGTGGAGGTGTCTACTATTTCTGCCATTAAAGGCAGGTGGTGCTTACCTTGATCCATGTCCTCATCCCCAAGTAACCCCTTTTCAGCCACACAGATTCCCAGAAGACTGAATGGGTGGCTGGCTTACAAAAGCCTTTCCCGTGAGTCTCTGCTGATGGGGCTGGCAAGCTTTCCCGGCAGCCAGTGCCTGGTCACTGTGCAGCAGGAGGGACATTCACAGCAGGATCAGGCGGCCTTCCCAGGCCAGCCCACACACCTGCTGATGCTCAGACTCTGCAGGTGCTAATAAAGCCTTGCTGTATCAGCCCAGTGAACTGGGGGGAGCAGAGTAGGGGGAGCTCTGCTGTCCCACAGACACAGGGCAGGCTCCCCATCTAGCTTTTTATTTCTTTGTCGGTTATAGACACTCTATATAGCATGTACAACTTGCCCTATTAAGTGTAAAATTAAGTGATATTAATTCCCCCCAAGACATGGTGCAGTCAGTTATCACCATTATCTTTATTTTTTTTTTTATCATTATCTTTTTCCAAAAGTTTTTGTCACCTCGGACAGAAGCTACCCTTCGCAATGAACTCTCCCTTTGCCCACCCTTTGGCAATTTCTAATCTACTTATAATATCTCTCCTTTTGTGTCTGGCTTAATTCCTCTTAGCAAACTGTTCAGCTCTGTTGTAACATGCATTCTAATGTCATTCTTTTTATGCCTTAATAATATTCCGTTATACCAATTTGTTGTTGTGATGTGCTACCGAGTTGCCTGCAACTCATAATGACCCTGTATGCAGTAGGTCTGAACCCTGTCCTATCCTGAGCCAATCTCATTGTCTCCAACACACTTAACCCCATTACCTCAGTCACTGAATCAATCCATCTCATCCTGTATCTTTCTCTTTTGTGCTGTCCCCTCCACCCTTCCAAGCATGATGTCATTCTCCAAGGACTGGTCCCTCTTGGCCATGTTCCCAAAGGATATGAGATGGAGCCTCAAAATCCTTGCCTTTAAGGAGTAGCTTAGTTTTAGCCTCTCCAGGACATACTTGTTTGTTCTCTTGGCGGTCCATGGTATGTTCAACACTCTTTTCCAGCACCACAACTCAAAGGCATCGATTCTTCTTCTATCATCCTTAGTCATTGCATTGTTATGATACATAGTAAGTAATTGCAAAGAATCAGACACATCTTAGTCTCCAGACTGATATACCCCATTTTATTTACCCATTCGTCAGTGCATGAACACTGGGTTATTGCCACCTTTTAGATTATATATGTTGCTGCAAGTAATACTGCATCTAGGTATCTGTTCTTTTGGGTATATGTCTAGGAGTGGAACTACTGGGTCATATTGTAATTCTGCAGGTCCCTTGGTGGCACAGATGGTTTCTACTCAACTAAACATCCTTAAGGGAGCTCTGGTGGCATAGTGGGTAAGGAGTTGTGCTG